TTTGTCTTTCAGACGAGTGCACGTGCTGTATTTTTTTCTCAAAAAAAAAAAAAAGAAAAAGAAAGAAAGAAAAGAAACTGTTAATTTGTTCAAATGTTAATTTAGAAAAAGTGTACTAGTAAAATTTGGACCAAAAGGGCACAATGCTAGCTCTGAATCAGGGTCAAAAGGACTTCTGTGAGGCATGCACTGTAGAAATGGACTGCTCACTACCTTTGGGCCTTAACTTCAGAATAAACACATCAAGAACAGTCTAAAAACTACCATGGTCCATTTGTCCACCCAATTCATTTTTTTGGAGACCCAAGTAAATGCATTCAAAAGTCATCTATAGGGACCAGCAGTTAGCGTTAATGGCTATGTTGCTGGACTCCCCCGTAGTTAACTGCGGTTCGTGTCCTGGACCCGGTGGCTTAAAACTCACGCCGGGCGCATGTGTGTGTGTGCCCAAGATCCCGAGAGGAGAATGGAGGAGAAGGGATTGTGGCGTGGCCATCCCCCCTGGGGGGTGATTTCTCGCTTTCTATCTCTGTCTCTCTCTGTCTGGCAAGCGCACGCGCCCTATAGCAAAAACCTCTCAAAAAGAAAAAACAACAAATAAAAAGTCATCTATAAAGCCATAGATACCAAATCATTCACAACAGTTAAAATTTACTAAACATGTCCCTTGAAAACATATGTAGCTGTAACTTCACTCTTTCATAAGCACAAGACTCGTGTCCCTGAAACTTCTTTTTCTCTGTTTGACAAAACGCTGAGTCTTTAATTTTGGAAACCGTAGGGCCAGCAGGTGCTGTGGTGGTTAAGGCAGTGGACTCCCACATGGCCAACCATGGTTCGAGTCTTGGACCCAGAAGCTTGAAAATCACACCATGCACATGTGCATGTGTGCCCAAAATCCGAAGAGGAGAATGGACGAGAAAGGTTATTGCTCCTGGGGGATGATCTCTCACTTTCCTCTCTGTCTTTGTCTAACTCTCTCCAGCAGTACACATGCTGAATAGCAAAACCTAAAAAAAAAAAAAAAGACAAAAGAAAAAACTTGGACATCATGAAGGGTAGAATAGCAGGAGCAGAAGAGAAAAAAATGTCTTTCCTGTTTGAGGATGTATTCAAACAGTGGATAGATTTCTTACAGGATTAGCTATCATGAGAGCTACACTGAGCATTCAGTTGAATTAGACAAAATATTCTAAAAGGTCTAAAATTGTATCAGACACAAATATTGCTAATTCTCCTAAAGTAATAATATTTATGTTGATTAATTTTTACCACATCGAACTGCAACTATGTAACAGATCTCACTTGTAGTATGATGCCTCTTGGGTCAGTTTTCCAATTATGTTTTTTTTTTTCATTTTCAAATGATTTTGTCACATAATGTAAGATAACAAATTTTTTAGTTTCTTTTTTTTTTTTTTTTTGCCACAGGGCACAAGTGCTTGCCAGAGAGAGCCAGAGCGAGAGGGAAAGTGAGAAATCATCCTCCCCTCAGGGGGTGTTAGCCACACCACAGTCCTTTCTCCTCTATGCTCCTCTCAGGATTTTGGTCATGCACACACTTGTGCCGAGCATGATTTCAAGCCACTGGCTGCAGGACTCAAACCACGGTCGACCCTGTAGCACCTTAACTACCAAAACATCTGTTGGCCTCAAATAATTTTTGATAATTTTTAAGACATTTTAAAAATTTACATTTAGAGGGACATCATGCAGTTAGCGTAATGGCTATGTCACTGGACTCCCACAGAGTCGACCGCGGTTCGAGTTCCGGACCCAGTGGCTTAAACTCGCACCAGGCGTGTGTGCGTGCATGCCCAAGATCCCGAGAGGAGAATGGAGGAGAGGGGATTGCGGCGTGGCCATCCCCT